TTGCCACTGAGGAGAATGTAGCAAAACAGGAGAGGAAGAGGAGGAGGAAGAGGGGAAGGAGGAAGAGGAATCAGAGATAGAGCTCAGAGTTAGGGATTTTTTTGTATTTGTTTTCACTCAGGGTGCCCTGAATTAAAAAGTAATGAGACGTACTGTACTAATCCTTATTTTACACACTAGTGTTAAGAATAACAGTGCTGTTTCACATACATCACAGCTTCTAGAGATAAAGACGTGTGGGTATGACATACCTCATTTTTGGGATTATTTAACCCTTCGTAGCCTAGAACATATAATAGCTCTGTAAGAAAGGACTGTCCAGTGTCACAAGCAGACTAGAAAGCAGAGTGAGGTCAAAGGATTCTGGGAGCACCATGGTAAAATATAACCCATTCAGAGCCTGGTTATGTGCTTTCAATTCACTTTAAGCAGGTGTGCTGGCAGATGGACTTCCAACATGCAGATAGATAGATGTATTGATTTGCTCATCAGAACTTTCTAAACTAAAAAGCCATTTTAAAAAGAAACATAACACCACCCAAACAAAATTAAAACCAACTTGTATATGAAAATACAGGGAAGAAATGCTTTAAAAAAATGTTCAATTTAAGAGACTTAAAGCAAACCTTAGGATTGCCTCTATGCAGATACTTAAAAGCCACTTAAAACTGTATCCAAGGGCTACATTTAACACCCTCCCCCAAAGCTAATGGATCATTTTTTGATTTTTAAAGAAATGCCTGGTGTATATGTATATGAAGAAGTGTCTTCCCAGCCTTGTAAACTTTGGTTGTCTACACAGCCTGCAGCACTGCTGACTTTCCTAAAGCACACAACCACATCCTGGGCTACTGTTTTCAAAACTAACAAGTAGTTCTGGTCTGGACCCTGGACAACGAAGGGTTAATGGATTCACACTATACCTTGCTGAACATGTTTAACCTGCTGATCATTTGGAAAGTAGTACTGGTGCTTTTCAAAATTCCGATTTTGGTCCATCAGATCAGTCTTTGGCTGACTTCCCTTTTTGTAAGAATACTGTATAACCTGGCATTCAGCAGTGTTAAAGCTGTCAGTCTACACCTCAGCATTTGGAGCTCTAATGATTTTTTTTATTTTTTGTAAAATTAGAAATACTTAAACGACCTTACAGCAATATGCATGCACTGTCCTTTTTTTTTTAAAGTAGGATATCTTGTTATTTTCTTTTTTTAAAAAAGTCCCTAATAATGATTTTTCCAAAAAAAAAAAAAAAAAAAAAGCATGCCTAGGGAGTCATTGTGACAGTGCAAAATACATTTATGTACATCCCTCTTACAAAAACACCATTATGTTAGCATTCCGTGAAGCATGCTGGTTTTCAGGAAAAAAAATCCTATAAGAGAGTGAAATAGCAGCTCCGAAAGATAGCTTTTTTTTTTTCTTTTCTTTTCTTGAGGACAACCAAAAAGAGTTTTTTTTTTCTTTTTTCTTTTTTTTTTTTAACTACTAGAGAAATATCACTAATACATACAGATATAAAAGCAGCATAGAAAGATACAGGTTTCTCACCAACTAGGAATAAAGAGACTAAATGTGGGCATATGGTTAAACTACAATGCATCTTCACATTTGTCCAACACATTTACAAGAAAAACACCATTGGGAAACCTCACAGGACAGAAGTGTTTTAACACCAAGAGAACTACTAGTTTTTAATTAAAAATCCAAACAGGGTGGGGTTGAAAAATTTTGGAAAGGGGCTGGAGCTGAAGCCACCGTTTTTTTTAAAATTATTTTTTTTCAATATAAAATGAATGAGCTGGAATAGACCCAATGTCTTACTCTGTGGAACCTTGCAAAAGTGAAGAAACGTTGAAGGGTTATTTAGGGCAGCTGGCTGATGTCAAAGCTGCCAGAATGCTAATTAACTGCAGGCTGAGTCTCTTACTTCTGTGTGTGTGTGTGTGTATATATATATAAAAAGGAGCCTTTTGTATTATGGCCTTTTTTTTTTCTTGCTGCTGTATTCATACATCCCACTGCAAATCATCTTTCATTTTTCATTCTGTTGACCTGGATATTATTATTTCTTTTCAGAAACAGGAAAAAAACCGAACATCTGTGTCTCCTTCCAATCTGCTGCACATCTGCGCGTTTTGTAGCGGGTCTTCAAAGTTCAGTTAGCAACCCACGGACGCCATTCATCTTCTTGTTAAAATGTCTACTGCTGTATCCAATGCTCATGCCCTTGAGGGGTTTCCTCTTTTTATCCATTATTGTATATAAAGAACATTGTGACTTTTAATATTAGCATTTTTGCTTTCAACAGCAATTAGCAATCTCTTGGTTTGCTGTTTGGTAAAGCATCGGTTAATGAGGTCATCTAGTTTAAAATCCCAGCTACTTGAAAATAACAGGGAGGAGGTCAAATCTATCATTTCATTGTTATATTCTCTGCTCTCTTTTCAGTTCTCTAAAGAAAAGATATCTTTGTTATCCACAATAAGTCATTATGACCCGTTACTGGCCCTCTGTTTTACTACCACCTCAAGATACAGTTAGGTTCGCTCTTGCTGAAGTACTGAAATAGGATAATTCATCTATAAACAAACAAACAAAAAAGAAAAAAAAAACAAAAACAACTTTGAGCATCTGAGGATGAGGAACTGGTTCCGCGTTGGTTGTGTTGTCTCTTTCCTCCGACAGTTCTGGGTTCGTGCCTAGCGAGGGGTTGTCTCTATGGTGGAAGGGGTCCCCGGGGTGGTTGACCTCGGAGTGGCTGCTGGTGGTGTGTCCATCGGGCTTCCGGCCCCGCTGTTGGGCGTGACGGAGGAGCTGACCGCAGGCGTGTCTCCCTGCTGCTGGGCCTGCAGGGTCTGTCCGCAGATGTGGTGGTGCTTCTCCCAGTCTTTGTGCTGGCAAAATGAGCCACAGTAGCGGGCTGTGTTACAGCCGCTGCACGTCTCACTCGCTTTACGGCCACAGTTCCAGCAGCTCTAAAGGAGATGGTGGAAGAAAACAAGATCCCACATTAATACCCTGTGAGGCGGAAGTCTGATAAATATGCTAGGCGGCACTGTACCCTCATTTTCAAACACTATGCAGTCAGGATGAAAAAGCCAGGCGTATTGTGGGTGTGGGTTCTCACGCTACACACAGAAAAGGTGCAGGTTTTGGTGCCGAGATTGTCCAAACTTTCCTGCCAGCAACTGTTAACGGCATGGAACAAAGTGGCTAAAGACCTTTTCGGTTTTTACTATAAAATCCTTTCTTTTTAGGTTTACTTATCGTAACATCTAAGTTCCCTATTCACCTATGCTCACTAGCAATCACTATATGCAAATTTTTGCCCTTGTAGTACCCATACCACAATGGTCAGACACCAAGGCATCGCTCTGGGCAGAAGCTTCTTCCTTCTAGATACTCTCAGGAAACTACTAGAACCCTATATTGGATTTGAAGAAATGGAGTAAAGGGCTCCATTCCCTGCTCCATCACTGACTAGACAGAGTGAGGCAAGGCACTCCAACCTCTCGTGCGTTTATTTCTTCCCACTGCAGTTACTCGGTTTACCTTACAACCAAAGGCTAGGACAGGCTTAACACAATCTCCTTTATCTCTGCTCCCAAGAGGGCAGGATCCTTGGTTTGTTTTTCCTCTGATATATCCCAAGCACCCAGAATAATGCCTGGTAGACAGTAGGTGCTCGATTAGTATTTGTGAAATGAGTGATTCAGACTGTGACTAATTTGGCTTTGAAAAATGAGGAACACTCAAACGTGGCAAACACTAATTCTGCTTGCATACGATGCTCCCTGGCTGATGGAGCTACTTTGTGCCTTTGCAACTCCGGGAAGTCAGAAAAGCAGAGGGAACTGGGGCTCGTCTGTGAATGAGCAGCACAGAACTCCGACCCCAGAAGTCTGCTGCCAGCCCCCGGTGGCGTTTTGCAAGATGTGAGAAAAGTGGAAATGGAGTTGTCTCTGGGATCTAAACTTTAAGACAGTCACATCCTGAATCAAGGCTGGACGAGCACCTGCGGCAAAGAGTGCCCAGGGAAGAAGGCAGCAGGAGGAGGAAACGAATTGTGATAACCCTCAGGGCCCTGCCAGGAGGTGGCGAACCTCAGAAAGCCACTTCAAATGTTCATTTAGGTGTTTAAAGTGTGCCCAGTTTCTTTGTCAAGGCCAACCCCATTGTGAAATGCTACATCAAGTGCTCTTAGCTTTATGCCATTCAAGTTTTTACTCCTTTATCTTCATTGGTTTTGACTGTTTTCTTGTGAAACAAACTTCTGGCTACACTCTGGCAACCCCAAGCAGCTGATGGTATGTGGTTATATCACAATTAAAACAGACTTTTTAAGCCCAGACACAGGTAGATCTCACAGGTCCTTCTACCACATTCTCTACATTTGTTCTGCTTTCAGCGTGCTAGTTATGTGACTCAGGGTGAGCTCATGGGCCTGTTGAAAATTCCCCTGTGGATCGTTGGCCCATCACCCTGAGGTGTGCGGCTTTACCACTATGCAAAATGTATAGGGAACCTTTAGCAGTATCCTAACTTTGCTAACAAATAAAGGGGCTCCTAGAGGCTTGCACATGCTGTAAGCCTGTAAAATCATCAACTCTGGTTTCAAGCCTGTAGAAAGAGCACAGCTCTATGTTCTTATTGAAATTATGGGCCCGGCGTGGTGGCTCACTCCTATAATCCTAGCACTCTGGGAGGCCAAAGCGGGCAGATTGCTCAAGGTCAGGAGTTCGAAACCAGCCTGAGCAAGAGTGACACCCCCCGTCTCTACTATAAATAGAAAGAAAATTAATTGGCCAATTAATATATATAGAAAAATTTAGCCGGGCATGGTGGTGCATGCCTGTAGTCCCAGCTATTCAGGAGGCTGAGGCAGAAGGATTGCTTGAGCCTAGGAGTTTGAGGATGGTGTGAGCTAGGCTGACGCCACGGCACTCACTCTAGCATGGGCAACAAAAGCAAGACTCTGTCTCAAAAAAAAAAAAAAAAAAGAAAGTATGGTCCTTAAGCAATAAAGCTCAAACAAAAAAAAGAAAAAGAAGAAAGAAAAGGGATTACAGTTTAACAATGAAAAGCAAAACAAAACAAAAATGTAAGATCTCAAACTTTAACCAATGAAAGGTGTTTTAAGTAAACATAGATGAGGAACTCTAGAAACTTGGTTAATGTGTTCATTCATAAGTAAAATAGATGGGTGCAGTGGCTCACACTTATAATTTCAGCACTTTGGGAGGCTGAGGCAGGAGATCACACCAGGCCAGGAGTTCGAGATCAGCCTGGGAAACATAGAGAGACCCTTCTTTCCAAAAAGTGTTTTTAAAAAGTTAGTCCCTCAAGGACTGGGAAATAAAAAAAAAAAAAGTTAGCTGGGCATGGTGGCATGTGCCTGTCATCCCAGCTGCTCGGGAGGCTGAGGCAGGAGGATCGCTTGATCCCAGGAATTTGAAGTCACAGAGAGCTATCACGGGGCGAGTGTATGCCAGCCTGGGCAACACTGTTGAGACACAGGCAGACCCGGTGTCAACAACAACAACAACAAAGTAAACTGAAGTTAAAATGAATAACTGCTCCTAGAATGAAGCAATTTTTTTCTATTTCAATTAATTTAATATCTCAGAAGACGTGAACCTCTGATCAGAGGTTTCACTCCCGTAACTCAAAGCCCTTTTCTCCCAAAATTAATATAACTGCATTGCATGTATAATGGCTCCACAAAGATGTGAACACACGTGGGCCTCGCCCACCCTTCAAAGCAGTGAGGGATGACACCCCACTCTCAGAGCGGAGTTTACTTCCCTGAGGTTTGCGCTTTTAGAATAATGCCAGCTGGATCCTGGAACAAACTCAGCGAATAAGCGATATTCCTAAATTACATCAGAATATCCCAATTAGAGAACAGAGACTCAAATCCAAAACAATATTTTAAGGAAATTAAACATCTAATCTGAGTCAAGTGGCTTCTTTAGGAAATACCCTGGTGTGAGTCCTATCCGTTTTCTGGCAAAGGCACATTTTGGCAGACACGAGGGTGGTAACTGCCCAATACTCAATGGCTCCTTCAGATTGAAATCAGATGTACGCAACATTCTCAATTTAAACTGATTAAACACACAGACTAAACCAGGTAATTACAAATGTATGTGTTGGGAAGTGGAAAGAGGAGACAGAATGGGGACTTCTTTATTTTTTAAAGTGTTTTCAAAGATGGGAACAATTTTACAAATAAAAAAGTGGAATTGTGCCAACTACAGAAACAGATGTTTTGGATCATGAAGCCGCTGGGAATTGAGCCTTCTTGCCTAGTATTGCCTGGTTCTGATCCAGGATTTAAGGAGTCTGGCTAGTTTTACCTCTAGTTTCATCCTGAGGTTGTTCAATCCTATTCATTTACCACCCACCACTGGGACAAAAACAGCCTTCAGCTGTAGGAAGGTACAACAAAGAGCAATTTAAATGATCAAGTAGGAAAAAAATCTGCAAATTTTTATTTCTCTTGACACTGCACTACAATGAACATGCAGGGAACGTCGGTGAGTGTTCAACTAACAAAAACTCCAAAGTGCATATGCCTTTTTAAAAACTCATTAGAAAACTGAAAAAGTAATTTCCATTAATATAGAATTTATCTATTGAATTTCCTGTTAACTAATCCATACCTGCAGTCACAATTCTGGGAACAGGGGAAGGTACAAGATCTTGTGAGTACTCCAATTTGGATCATTTTAAGTTTCTAAGCTTTCTGCTGTTCACAGAGGTAGGAATTGCAAACTGTGTCTAACACCCAGAGGTACATCCGTAAGGGCAGGGACAAAGGCGGTCAATGGCTTAACCCAATGTACATTTTTCAATTTGTGCTTTTTATATTCAGGCTAGCATTACCTAATTGTTGTTTTATTTATTTGTTTAATTTTTTTTTTTTTAATAACTGAGCTTCCCTTCCAGACCTCTCAAGAGTGATTCTAGTGACTGAAATTACTACAATAGCGTAGAAAGCTCATGAAGAGCCATGCTATAGCAAATTTCATTCCCAAAGCTCATGGCACTTTACAGCCTTCCTTTATTTGTGATAAAATTATTCCCTTTTCGGCTCAAAGAATATTTCCCTATCTGAGAAACAAGAACAAGTCAATTGGCCAAAGTTAGGGGGTGAGTCAGATGAGGACTCTGAGTTTCAACACAAATCTCCCCTTTTCTAAATAGATCCAACACAAGGCTATACATGGACTTAGAGAGGACAGACTGAAGCTTTCGAATGCCAAAACTGCATATGAAAGATTTTCGACACTTTGCTTTATATCAGCAATGTTCTTTGTCCCCAAGAAAATAAATTATTTCCTTTATATTATTATTTTTGATACAAAGATCATGGTCCCTCTGTCCTACTGATAAAATATGTCACTTCTGGTTCTTGCTGTTGAACATTCTTTTTCTGATAGAGAAAATATTTTCTCCCAAATTACTTTAAGTTTCTCTAGGTCTTACACAGCTGTAATTATCCAGAAGTCCTTGCACACAATCAATACTTAATGAATGTAAACAGAATGATGATAATTAAAACTTACAAAATGTAAAGAACCCTACAGAAGACAACACAGTGACTTAAATTCACAATAGGGCCAGAGCATCTTATACTTGTCTTGCACTTGACATTTCAAACCATTTCACACACGTTTGCAGCTTAGGAAATACTGAGGTGCCCAAATAAATAACTTTCTCAGTAAAAGACTTGCCCAAAGTCACAGAGATATAAAATTACATAGCCAAGGTTTGATTCACCCAAATGTTTGGACTACAAATCAAATACTCTTTCCAAAATACCATACTTTGTCAATTTCAGATCTTTGCTTAGATCCCATTGTTGCAGGAATAGATTAGAAGAGCACTTAACTCCTCAAAGTGGACAGAGATTGGACTAGGAGTTGGAGGCACCAAAGACAAAGTGTCATGGTGTGTAACAGAAATGCAC